TTTATATCAAAGCTTGAATCCATTTGTAATACCTTAATTAAGGCGGTGGCATTGGATTGATATCAATCCAATCCAAAACCATTACAAAACACACACAAATCCATTTTTTTCACCCACAACCTAGAGATGTCGAAGCAGAGGGAAAAAAAAAGGGAAGGAAAAGAAGGAGAAAAAAAAAAGGGAAAGTTCGCCTATACTGTTAAAAAATAAGTGGTCTACACTATTAGGCTTGAATTCCTCAATTTTGAAAGGTAAGTAAAAAGTTACTTATTGTCAAGTTATGTCTAATTTTATAGTTGTTAGATTGTTAGATAAAATTGAATTTTAATGAAGGGGTTAAGTATAATAAGCTATGAAATTGAGTTAAATGAAAGAAAAACTAGTTTCAAAGATTAAAGAGACTTTAGAAATCGCTTAGATGTGAAATGATTAAATTTGGGTATCGCCTATTTAATTATTGAAATTACTTAAAATAATTAATTGCTGATTTAAAAATTATATCATATTTCAGGCGGCGATAGGGACATTGAGACAACTTACCAACTGAGTTGATTTTGCGAATATAGTTCTATGAGTGGAAATATATATATATTTTCAAAGTATTTATAAATTAAATATATTATCAAGGTATGTGCAATTATGTGTTCGATTATATGATTATTATGAAAATCTCTTTTATTATGATACATGTGGAATTTCATAGATTACTTGTGGTACATTTATAACTTGTTATGTGAAACAAATGTGATATTGAAATCGACCAGAAAAGTACCCATGATTAAATACTTTTTCCAGTTCACAGAAGGGTCTTTGTCTGTTCTATCCTACACGAAGGTGTCTTGACCTGACATTGGCCTTGATTGTGTACATATAGTTCACAGAGGGGCCTTGTCTATGTTTTGAAATTGATTACCGGAGGTCTTTAGACCGGCTTTTGTTCACAAAGGGGACTAAAGGCGTGGCAAAAGTTCTTAGCTCGAGGAGCAGATTACTGATTTTAGTCAGAGGTTACATTTTTTGTAGATTTTCTAATACATTTGATATGATGAGATTATAGCATGATTACCATCTTATGATCATATTATGACTTGAGATGATATTTTACAACATTATGTGAATATCTCACGTTTTGGCTATAATTATATGATGTTATCTTGCCAGTTATTCAATGATATGAACTCATTTTTTAATAAAAATGTAAAATTGAAAAAGTATAATCATTTTTGAACTTCTCCACTCACTGAGCTATCGACTCATATATTTTCCTGTAATTTTCCTACAAGTAGCAATTGATTCTTTTTAGCTGGAAGAGTCTAATGATTTCGGAATGAGAGCCACACGACATGTTGAGTGTTATGACTCATATTAATGAAGCACGAAGTAAATAATTTGGGCACATCGCATTATGTTTTACGTAAGTATCTGATTTTTTATGCATTTTTTGAAGTAACCCATATTCAGTATTGGTGATAAATTTGATGTCTAGTCAACATCTATCATCGGCGCACGTCATGTTTCGAGTCCACTACAGTGATTCTGGATAGGTCGTGTCAAAGTGGTATCAGAGCATGGTTTTGAAAAATTTTATGGTTCATGCATGTTCAGTGATATGAACACATGTCGTTGTGGCAGAAATCACTGGCTCTCTAGCTCGAATGTATAGAACCAAAATGATAGAAAAACATATTTTTTAATAGATTTAGAAACGATTAGTATGTAAGTATGGTAGTTGCAATGATATGATGGTTGGAAATGTTATTAGTTGCTGGGTTGGAACCATGTGTTTATGTAGCCTATTAAGATTTGAACAGATTGTGATGATTTTGTGGGGCATTCGAAGTTACAGATGTTACAATCACTTAATTATCAATTTATATGTAGAACTACATGATTTTTTATTTTTTTGTGCACATAGGAAAATTTTTAGTTATAGTTTGCACGATAAATACAAGGAAATGATATTATGTGTGATTGATGACAATCAGTGAGGAATTTTAATTATTTTTGCAGCCAAATGGTCATTAGTATTATCCAAATTTTGTGGTGATTTGTGGCCACTTATATGGGATGATAATAGAAATCCTAATGGTCTATATTTATGCTATATGATAAGAAATTATGAAGGACAAAATGATGATTTGTTGATTGATAGATAGCAATGTGTTATTGTATATCTTAAGCGTCGATGGGTTTAACATTTAGGTGATTCCAATTAACTCAATTATTTATGAATTGTTTGATTATAAGGAATATAAGTAAAATAGGGACAGATTTGAATATGATCACCTATTATGGGTAATTTGTTGTTGAAGAAATAGAATTAAATGGATATGTGCATTTAGGTCTGTCTGTGTCAATAAAAAAAAAATGAGAGAATGGTAGAGTTTAAATTTACTGAGATTAGGAAATTAACATGCGGTATATTGATGTGTGAAATGTTCACGTGATAAATATGAAGGCTATTATCTTGTGATATTAAGGAAAATCGATATAATTAAATGTTTTAGGTCATACGATATAATGATAAATGCCAAGTTTACTTGATCGTAACATGATATGGTGAATAGCATGTAAATGAATATAATGGTTGTCCTATAGCAAAATAATGTGATGATAGATTTGGGTTATTACGTTAATTAATTTTGTTAAGGCCATTTGTTGAATTATTGTGTTATATTCCATACAATTTGAAAGAGTTGTGTTAAATTTTGAAGTTAAGATGAATTTATTGAAACTTTAGTGATGTAATTTTTGGGCTATTTTCAATTATATGGATCATGAAACAAGTATTCCATTTTTATCAAAATATATTGGTTAAGAAATATAAGTAGGATATGTTGGATATGTCTAAAGTTTAAGATGATCATCAAATATAGATTTTAGTCATTGTGATATAGTATCTTTAGCAGAGACGGAGTGACAAGTGCTGCCAAATCCCATGTCCATTACAAGCCCAAAAAAATGTTAGAAAATTTTTAGTTTTTAGTCCATTAGCCCACCCATTTTGTAAATTCAGCCTGGCCCAAATTTTTTTTCTTAATACCCAATAGGCAATAGCCCATTGCCCAACACCCGATTATACAACAAATGAACAAATATATCTCCACTTTCATTCCACCTGCCCAGATTTACACGTCTCTCTCTCTCGAAATCTGTGGCTTTTTTATTGAAATTTTTGAAAACAAAAATTCCCAAATCTTTGAATAACCCTAATAGGCTAACCCCCAACCTTTCTATTCTTTTCCCTAATTACCATCTCAAAGGAGATCGTTGGCCACAAACAAGGAAGAAGAACAAGTGAAGTTTGATGAGTTTCGGTCGGCTGTTGGCAACTCCTTCGATAATTCGATTCGAACCCCATTTTTAGCCAACAACTCATTTCCTTTGATTATTGGTTAGTAATTGTGGCCCTTTTAATATTTGTGTCAAGATTTAAAATAACCCTTTTTTTTTGGGCAAGATGTTCTGATGTTTTAATTTTTTTTGCTATGTGTAATGTATTTGATTAATGATAATTTTTTATCTATGTTATGTTTATGGGTTATATTATTATCCTACAATTTTTTTGGAATTGGAATTAATTAGGCGTGCAAATTTTGCTAAACTTCATCGGCAGTATTAATTTATAGAAATAAAATGAGGAAGAAAGTCTTTAGCACGTCCTCTAGCATTTCATTCTGAATCTGAATTCTGAAACAATGTTCACCGGATTATATAAGCATTAAGCAAATAACAAATGAATAGAAATATAAACATAACTTATTAATGTAGTATATAGTACAAAATAGTTGAAAAATGAGTTATTATTGGCAGTTGGATTACACGTTTCCTCATCATGGGGACAAACACCATTTAGAACATGTATCTCATGGTTAGTAAGTAAATGGTTCTAATTTTTATTATGTTCATTTATTTTATTTTATTTTTTTTGCTATGTTATGTTTATGGTTATAATTTTATTTTATTATTATTTTTTTTATAGGCATTTGATTGGATTGCTTTTAAAACATCTAAACAAGCTTAATAATTCATCTAATTGTCTCGTTCACTTCGTCGACAAGACGGCAACAAAATATGTAAGCACTAAGCTGGTATTTCGCTTGACCTTGATTACCTTGAATTATATTTTACGTTGGAGTATTAGTTTATGACGATTCTTATATTTGATGTTGAATTTTTAGCTAGTTATAATATTTTTGAAAGGTTAGATAAGCAGTTAAAATGTTGCTAGTGGATTGTTTTTGGATTGTTGGGATACTGAAGTGTTTTGATTTTTTTTTTTTTTTTTTATGCTTTTTAGATTTTAATATGGAACCAAATCGACCTCTTGCCAAGAAAGGAAGAACCTTATTATCTTTATTTACAAAGAGCGACAAATCCGAGGGTGCTCCAACTCCTACGATACCCAATCCCCCAATTGCTACTCCAACTCCTACGGTACCCAATCCTCCAATTGCATCTACTGAAATTGAACCGTCCTCATCTTTCAATGTTGAGTTAGAACCATCTGATTCTATAGAACAAGACCCAGGAAAAAGAAAGCAAATATATGAATATCCGTTTAATGAATGTGATCAGATTAGGTGTGCCTATTTAAAAGCCGGGCCTTATCAACCAAAACTTTTGGAGTATCAAAGCAAAGAATGTGGAAGACAGAAACGTCGATTTCAAGAGTATTGGTACAATTAGTATTCTTGGTTGGAGTATTCGCCTTCAACATATAAGGCATATTGTTTTTTCTGCTTCCTTTTTCTCAATGAAGGTGTTCTACCTAATATTTCATCATTGGTTACTGTTAGATTTGATAGTTGGAAGAGGGTTGGCCAAGGAAGAAATGTGCATTTCTTGTTCATATTGGTACAACATCTTCATTATATCATAATGGCTATAAGAGAAGAGCTGAAGATTTAATGAAACCAACCCAATATATTGACAAGGTGATACACGCTATATCAAATGAGGAAAAATAGAAAAATCGTTTGCATCTAATGACCACAATTATGAGTGTTCGTTGGCTAGCACTTCAAAGTTGTTCATTTAGAGGCAATGATGAATCTCCATATTCACTGAATCGTGGGAATTTTCTTGAAATGGTAGATGCATTTGGAAAAATGAATACAAAAATAGGAGAAGTTGTGTTGGGTAATGCTCCAAAAAATGCTACATACACATCTCCAGACATTCAAAAAGAGATTTTGAGCATTATGGCTAATAGAGTAAGATAAAGAATCCGTAAAGAAATTGGGGATGCAAAGTTTAGTATTCTTGTTGATGAAGCTCGAGATGCATCTTCACAAGAACAAATGGCTATTATCTTGAGGTTTGTGAATGGTAATGGAATTTTGACATGACGTTTTTTTTTTTTTTTTTGCAATCAAAAGTGTTAGTGACACTACATCTTTGAATCTTAAGAATCAAGTTTTTGATGTTCTTGTTTGTTTCAACCTTCAAGTGCAAAATATGAGAGGTCAAGGGTATGATGGTGCTAATAACATGCATGGTTCTTGGAATGGACAACAAGCATTATTTCTTAGAGATTGTCCATATGCATATTATGTCCATTGTTTTACCCATCGTTTGCAACTCATGTTGGTTTCAGCAGCTAGGGATGTCGTAGATACTAATTCGTTCTTTTCAGATTTGGACAATGTTATTAATATGATTACATCATCTCCTAAACGCTTCAATGAGTTGAAAAGTTCCAAAAAAAAAAAAAAAGAAATTGAACATTTGTTGGAAATTGGAGAAGGAGAGACTGGAAGTGGGGCTAATCAAATTGGTAACTTGCAACGAGCTAGAGGTACTCGTTGGTCTTCTCATTACAACTCTGCAAAGAGTTTAATTGATATGTATGCTGCAACTTGCAAGGTGCTTGAGTATCTTAGTGATCATTCTCCAAATGTAAGAACTCGGTCTGAAGTGGGTGGTGTTTACAAAAATTGACATCATTTGAATTTGTATTTATTTTGTATTTAATGTGCTGAATGTTGGCAATCACAGATGTGCTTTGTCAAGCCCTTCAGAAAAAACTCAAGACATCTTAACTGCTATGAGATTTGTCCATACTACAAAAACCATCATTCAAGAATTGAGAGAAAATCACTGGGAAAAAATTCTTGAAGAGGTGAATTGTTTTTGCTCAAAAAATGATATACATATACTTGACTTACATGGTTCATATATGGTTGGTCGTTCTCGTGGTCGTGAGTATCCTACCATCGAACATCATTACCACTTCGATATTTTTAATGCAGCCATAGATTTTCTAGTGACGGAGTTAGATGCAAGATTTAATGAGACATCATTAGAACTCCTTTCTCTCGGCTTGGCATTTGATCCGAAAAATTCTTTTGAATCATTTAACATGGATAATATTTGCAAGCTTACAGAGAAATTTTATCCTCAAGATTTTACACAGCAAGATATTTATAGTTTGAAAGTTGAGTTGCAACATTAACAGCATGATGTGATTTATGAACCTCGATTTCAAGTATCTACACTTTCTGATTTATGTCAAGAATTGGTTGTAAGTAGAAGATTAGAGAGTTACGTCAATTTGACTAAATTGATTCGTCTAGTATTGACACTGCCTATTTCAACGGCTGTCGTGGAGCGAGCATTTTCTACAATAAAACAAAATGGATGATGGTTTTCTTACTGATTGTATGACACTTTACATTGAATGAGAACTTTCTTTGAATTTAGATTTTGATTCTATTATTGATGAATTTTATGCTATAAAGCATCGTTGGGTACAACTGTAACTGATAATATTATATTATGACCTTTTTTTGTTATTTATGAAATTCATTCGTACATTAAATTTCTAAAGTTTTCTCCCCTAACATTAATTCCTGGCTTTGTCCCTAATCTTTAGGTTACATTATCTCAATTAAAGGTCTTTATGCGATATACAAGAAGCATTATACATTGATGATAGATCAACGACCCATTTATGGAATAAGAGTATAGATTTTCATGGATTAAATGTTATTATTGTCTCTTCATAGAAAGAAAGAACAAAATTTATATGGGTATGAAAATGTCAAAAGTTTTGCTATCAGAAAATTTTGAGGAAATATTTGCTCTTATATTTAAAGATGATAAGTGATATTCACGATAATGATTCATGTTATGGTTTAGAAAATGTTCTCTAAGTGGAATAATAAAATATGGATTACGTTGTAGACTGGCTAAAGAGATATGATTAAATCATGATATATGGTTGGTTATATTGGGATTGACATTTAGGAATTGTGGCGTCATCACATGGTGGGAAGATCAATACTTACTGATCACATGAGGCTAAGGTATATTTGAAGTCGGAAAGGAGCCGAACTTGAAGCTGTGTATATATTATCGTTAGGTGATTAAATGAAAAGCTGAAAATATCACATATTGATCATTAGGATGATATTTAAGGTATCGGTTCAACATGTATTCGATATGCTCGTGGGTTAGTAAATAGATATCAAATTTAACTTATGCTATAAGATTATTAGTGGAGTTGAAAGAGAAAGAAAATCTTACATATGAGGAACAACCTGTTCAGATATTGGACGAAAAGAAACAAGTTTTGCGAAGTAAGACTATTTATTTTTTGGTTAAGATCTTATGGAGGAATCACGTTATAGGAAAAGCAACATAGGAAAGTGAAGAGCAGATGTGTTGTCAAAATTCACAGCTTTTTCGTATTTAATCAATTGAATTTCGAGAACGAAATTCTTTTAGGGGGTGAGTTTTGTAATACCTTAATTTAGTAAAACAAAATGTGTGTATATATATATATATATATATATGTAAAGACAAAAGAAAAAGATTAAGGCGGTGGAATTGGATTGATATCAATCCAATCCAAAACCATTACAAAACACACACAAATCCATTTTTTTCACCCACAACCAAGAGATGTCAAAGCAGAGACAAAAAGAGAGAGGAAAAAAAGGAAAGGAAAGGAAGAAAAAAATTGGAAAGTTCGCCTATGTTGTTAGAAAATAAGTGGTCTACACTATTAGGCTTGAATTCCTCAATTTTGAAAGGTAAGTAAAAAGTTACTT